CCGGAGGCGGCGGCGGAGCAGGCCCAGGCCGACTCGCTCACCGTCTACTTGGTCATCGCCTTGGCCTCGGTGTCGTCGCTCTTCCTGTTCTCGGTGGCCCTGTTTGTGGCGGTGAGGCTGTGCAGGAGGAGCAGGGCGGCCTCCGTGGGTCGCTGCTTGGTGCCTGAGGGCCACTTTCCGGGCCATCTGGTGGATGTCGGCGGTACTGGGACCCTGTCCCAGAGCTACCAGTATGAGGTGTGCCTGACTGGAGACTCTGGGACTGGTGAGTTCAAATTCCTGAAGCCAATATTCCCTAACCTCTTGGTTCAGGACGCTGGGAAAGAAGTTAAGGAAAACCCGAAGTGCAGGAATAGCTTTGTATTCAGTTAAGTGTTGTATGTAATTCAGTTTACGTCTTACCAGTTTTGTCAAATTTCCCATGGCAATGCCTTTCTTTTGGGAAATTATATTATCATGTAAATATGCATACAGCTATTCAAAACATAAGCATGCTCCAGATAGTATTAAATGTTCCCTTTTTATTGGCATGAATTGCCCTTAGCATTTTAAGTTATTCTGAATATTGATTGCATATGTATTTTTCTATTTGACCTCCCCTTGGTGATTAATCTTTCCATAACTACAAATTACTTAATTAGCATAAAGAAGAAATTATATTTTAATGAACATTTTAATGTCTTCTTACTTAAATGTTTAAAGCATTTGTGAAATCTTGAATCTCTGTCTTTATCATATATTTTATTCTTCTGAGAATACTTGTTTTTCCCAAATTGGATATAAACATACACTTCATTAATATATTGATACACTAAAGTTGTGACCCATTTTCTGTTGTGAAAACCATATATGCTGGAGATTATTTTATTAGGTTGATACTTACCTAGCATGTTCTGGTAATAAATTTAATAGAATATTAAATTAATATTTAATTTTTTGTAAATTCTCATTTAGAAATAATTATAGAGAAAACCTCACATAATTTTCCATACCTTTCACGAAATAAAACTCTTAAATTGCTGCTTGCTATAGTCATTAAAAAAACCCTAAGAGCTAAAATAAGCTCTAAATTCCTCTGACAAATTCAAGACCCCTGAGAGCATTAGAGGTCTCCTTGTCCTTCCTTTTACTTTATAAACAGAAGTCAAAGTTTAGTTTAATGTGTTTATTTTTATTTTCCTACAGCTTCTCCCCATCTTTCAAAAGAGTCAGAAAATTTCTCATGAATTGTGGCTATTGTTTTAAAGTCTGATAATCAGGTGATCTCAGATTTTTCACTTTACTTTGCAGATATGGGCAGTCTTTACAAAAATAAATAATGGGGTTTTTTGGTGTTTAATTGTCATTTGTTTTTTAATGTAACCTTCAATTTTTTGAGTTAATTTAATTTTTCAGCTATACCAAAGTTGCATTTTTGTGAAATGAGTGTTATTATGAGACTGGGACAGTATGACATTATCTAGATTATAATTGTTTCATGCTGTGTTCAATAAGCCAGGGAAGCTAGTTAAAGTTAGGTGGATGTAACTATAAGACAATTCTAATTACATTTTGGCAGAATTTGAGCAACTGTAAAGCTTGCTTTATAATCCAATATGAATGTTTAAATTTCAACTCTCATTCTACTGGAGTTTAAATACTTTCATTTTTTCTGGTATTACCCTTTTTTAAAGGACATGATGTAATACAAAAGGAAAGTTACTCTTACTCTTGTTTAAGTTACTCTTGACACAAACTTTTTATCCTTCCTTCAATTTAAAAATTGAAGTGGGATAAAAGCAAAAATGAAATTAAACACAAACACATATGTACGACATAAGTACTGTAGTCAACTTTAATAATTTCTCCATTTATTTTTAACTTTTAAAACTAAATGCCTTCTATATATGATGACAAGTAAAAAATCTGATGAAAAGTTTTGCAATATAGTTGAACATTCATAAAAATCCAAATTCTCCTTTTTTATTTATGCAAGGAAAGCCAAATTTGAATAATCACCCAAATGAGACAGGCCAAATAAACACGAACAATCCCCATCATCCTGGAAAGTATTCACAAACCATGGATTGTTCCTTACCACCTAGGGGCTACCACCAGACTTTGGTGTAGAATAGATCAAGATTTTTAAATTCAGTTATTACAATTTACTAGTAAACATGATCTAAATAAGTTTTACAACTGAAAATAGACCAGTTCTGTTGTTACAGAAAAAAGCAGAGAATAGAGATCAAATATCTTGATAATAACACCCATTTCAACAGGTTCCCCTCAAGTGCATCTATTAAATATGCAGCATTTATAATTCCTTCACTATTGTTTTTAGGTACAGCATATGGTAAGAATTAATGCCTCCTGTTTTGGGAGAAGAATTTAACTTAAGGCAAGGTAGCCTACACTTCTTTAAAATGCCCTCTTCCTTTACTATCAAAACCTAAAAAATATTTAAAAGATATTTAAAAGATATTTTTTAGGTTAAAACTGATGCATGTATTTGGCGGAATTCTGTTTCCAGTTAGATGGATTATCTAGCAGCTGAAAACAACTAGACAGATTTTTGCATATTCAGCATTCAATAAAAAATTAGTTGGCATACACACATACCAAAAACTGGAAGACATGAAGAAAACCAAGAGAAAGAACAGACGATACAAATGACCCATAGATAATCCAGATATTAGAATTAACTGGCAATGATGTTACAATAAATGTGACTAATGTATAAAAATAAAGGACAATGGATAAAAGAGATGAAAAGATTATTTCAATAGAGAATTGAAATTCAAAAGTGGAAAGTAATTCTAGAACTAAAAAAAGGTCTCTAAAATTGAAACTATTTAAATGGTTTAATTTCACAGACATAAAGGAACACAAGATTAATGGATGCAAGACAAGGCAGTATAAATATCCAAATAGAAGCACAGAGTAAAATAATGATGAAGAATACAGAAAATAACATTAGTGATATGTGGAACAGAATTAAAAAATTCTGCTATCCATATTATTTTAATCCTAGAAGGAAAAGAGAGAATGAAAATGGGCAATAAGCAATATTTGAGGAGATAACGATCACAAATTTTCCAAAATGGGTAAAAATCCTTAATTTTTTGAACTCAGTCTGGATAAGTAAAAAACAAATGTGGGCAAAAATTCTTTATTTTTTGAAACCCAATCGGGATAAGTAAAAAACAAAGTACACCTAGGCATATCATAGGAAAGTTGCTCAAGACCAAACTCAAAGAGAAAATCTTTAAAGCAACCCCATTACAAAATGATATGGTACTTTTAAGGGATCATCAGTAAAATGGAGAGTTGACTTTTCAACAGAAATTATGAAACTAAAAGCAAAGGAATGATGTCTTTAAAGTCCTGAAAAGAAATTTCTGCTAGACTAGTGTTCTCAGCAGACATATACTTCAATATTGAATAAAGTTTTCAGATAGAAGCTGAGAGAATTAACCACAGTCTCATGTGCACTAAATGAAATACTTTTAATGAAATCCATTAGGCAAAGGGAAACCAGTCCAAAAGAAATCACAGAATTGCGGTAAGAAATGAACAGCCACACAAAGGGTAAATATACATGAATATAGATAGAATATTGATTATACAAGAAAATAATTATAGTTTCTAGATTATATGTAAAATTTAAATTTGTAACAATAATATTGTAAAAGGCAGAAGTATAAATAGAGTTCAAGAGTTCTAAGGTTCTAAGCATTATCAGAAGTAGTAAAATTAATTTGTATTAGATTCTTGTAGATCAAAGATGAATTCTATCATTTCTTGGATAACCACCACAATAACTAAAAAGCTAACAGAATAAGGAAAAAACAAAATATTCGGATAATCCAAAAGAAGAATGAAACTTTAGGGACAAATAGAAAAACAATTAATGTAAGTAGAAGTGGAAAGATACCAGCTATCGCACGCTAATTATGATTGGATAAAATAATCAAATTTAACACTCAAAATGGATTTTCAGACTAGATTTAAGAAAAACTCAACTCTGTGCTGTCAAATACATGTGTGTACATGCACAGAAAGATTGAAAGTTAAAAAAAAATGGAATAAGGTAAATAGTAATACAAACCCTAGCCAAAATAAACCTAGTGTGGCTATATTCACATTAAGACAAAGAGACGGGAAGGAAAGATACATTATGAGAGAGAGAGATGATTCATTATAATGAAGAGTTAAATGTGTCAGAAATACATTAGTTATAAGAGTAAATGTATCCTCATAAGATAACTGCAGGAGATAGACAAACCAAAATAATACTGGGAGAACTAATACAACTCTCAATTTCTGATAGAATAGGTAGACAACAACACACACACACACACAGAGAATATTGCTACTTCAATTTAATATCTTTACTATAGGTTCTAACCAGTGGAATGAGGCAAAGTAGAAATAAAAGGCACAAAGTGATGGTATGAAATTTAAAATTTATTTTAAAAAGACGTGATTGTATACATTGAAAGTCATGAAGAATCTATAACCTACACATATTAGAATTCATAAATGAAATTAGTAATGCCACTGGATAAAAGGTTAAAGTACAAATATGAGTGGTATTTCTATTTAGCAACAAAAAATGATAAATATCATATACAAAAATATCAGGGAACAAATCTCATAGAATAGTCATAAGACTTACACAGTGAGCATTAAAAAACTTTATTGAGGAAAATTTTAAAAGGTCTAAAAAATTAAAATGTTCACTACTTGGAACACTCAAGCTTGGAAATATATTAGTTCTCCCTCAATCAATCTATAAATGCAATAAATTATAAATAAATTTCAGTATATTTCTTTGTGAAATTGAGAAACTGAATATTATTTACTTGAAAATACAAAAGGACAATAATGAATAAAACAACCTTGAAGAAAATTAATAAAACTGGAGCTATCACATGAAAGCCATGATCCATGGAATAAAGAATTAGTAAGCTAAACTTCATTAAGATTAAAACTTTCTTCTCTGTGAAAGATACTGTCCAGAGAATGAAAAGACAAACCATGAACTCAGGGAAGGTATTTGCAAAAGAAGATATCTGATGAAGGATTGTTATTCAAAATATAGAAAGAACTGTTACAACTGAACTACAAGAAAACAAAAAATCAAATTTAAAAATGGTCCAAAGACGTTAACAAACATCATCAAAGAAGATGTAAAGGTAGCAAATAAGCATACAAAAAGAGGCTCCACATTATACATCATCAGGGAAGTGCAAATTAAAATCACAGGGAGTTACCACCACATACTCATTAGAATGGCCAAACTTCAGAACACTGGCAACACCAAATGCTGGCAAGGATGTGGAGCAACAGGGATTTGCACTTCTAGGGGGGTGAAAATGAAAAATGGTACAGTCATTTTAGAAGACAGTTTGGCAGTTTCTTACCAACCTTAATGTACTCTTACCATGTGATACAGTAATTGTGCTCCTTAGTATTTATCCAAAGCAGTTAAAAACTTACATCTGCACAAAAACCTGCACAGGAATATTTGTAGCAGCTTTATTGATAATTACCCAACCTTGGAAGCAAACAAAAGGTCCTTCAGCAGGCAAAGGCCTAAATAAACTGTGGTACATCTGGGCAATGGAATATCATTCAGCACCAAATGAAATTAGCTATCAACCCATAAAAATACATACAGGAAACTTAAATGGATATTACTAAGTTAACAAAAGCCAATCTGAAAAGACTATATACTGTGTGATTCTAATTATATGACCTTCTAGAAAAGACAAAACTGAGAAGATAATAAGATCAGTGATTGCCAGGGGTTCTAGAGCAAAGAGGAAGGGAAAAAGAAGTGAAGCACAGAAGATTTTTAGGGCAGTAAAACTACTCTGTATGATAGTATAAAGGTGGATACCTGTCATAAATTTTTCCAAAGCCATAGAAAGTATACAGACCCAAGAATAAACCCTAATGTTAAGTACAGAATCCAGGATAATGAAGAATGTAGGTTTAAAAATTGTAACAAGTAAACTTCTCTGGTGGGGGATGTCAATAATGGGAGAGGGTGGTGCAAGTGTGGAGACAGGGAGTATATAAAAAAATCTGTATCTTCTGATCATTTTTCTTCTGTGAACCTAAAACTGCTCCATAAATAAAGTCCTTTTTAAAAAGAACTTGCCTCTCAGATAGCAAAACCTGTTATAATGTGATAGTAATTTTGATAAGATTCTATGGGAGGATATGTAAAGAGAAAAAAGAATTAAAAGTCTTAAGGAGACCTACGGTCGCCTGATTTATGACAAAGATGACACTTTACAGACAATGGGGAATGTATTGTCTTTTTGATAGATGGTGTTAAAGAATTTGGTTATGTACATAAATGAAATTTTGACCCTAACCTCATTAATTAAAGAAAAAATTTCAGATTGATTGTAACACTAAAAGTGAAAAGTAAAGTAATCTTTCAAAATACACCATACAATGACACTTTTGTGAACTTGGAGCCCAAAACAATTTAGATAGAACACAGAACAATGGTAGCCACAAATGAAAACTATTGCCAAATAAGAGTAAATAAAAGGTAAGAAGTTTTATTCACCAAAGATACAATAATGAGAAGATATTTACAATTCATGTATCTGAAAAAGAACTTGTACCCAGAATATGTAAGGAAATCCTGCAGATCAATAGGCCAACAGGCAAATGCCCCAAATTTAAAAAAAAAAAAAATGCACAAAAGGCATGAATACACACTTCACATAAGTGTATCCAAATGGCAAAAAAAGTGTGAAAATATGCTCAGTTTAATTAATCCCCAGGGAAATGCTAATTAAAATTACAAATGATGTTACTATGCACTCACCAGAGTGGTTAAAATCGAAAGGAAAACATCAAATGCTGACAAGGACGTGGAGCGACAGAAACTCTTATAATTTGCTGTCCTTGGTCCAACTAGTTTTGAAAAACATTCCATAATGACTGCTAAAGCTAACTATATGTACATATGTTAATGCACAAAAATCCAACTGCTATGAATATATTAAACATAAATACATACATGTGGTCACCAAAAGATATGTACAAGCATGTTTTTAGCAGTACTACTCAAAATAGTTCCAAACTTGAAAAATCTTAATGTTCACCAGTTGGAGAATGGATAATTAAATCACGCAATATGCATACAAGAGAATAATATAAAGCAATGAAAATAAAACAAATTAGAACATGCCACAGGTCAATTGTATAAACATAATGTTGAGTGAAATAAGCCAAGATAGTAATGAGCTATAATTCCATAGGTATAAGAGTTCTAAAAGGGGGAGGGAACTTCTGTGACAATACAAAATTATGCTAGTGGCTTCTCTTTTGGGAGAAGTGTAGTAACCAGACAATGGCAGGAGAGGATTTCTTGAGTTTGGGTAGTATTTTATTTTTAATCTAGGTTCTACTTGGAGTAGTGTGTTCATACTGTGAAAATTCGGAGTTGTATACTTAACAATTTGTTCCCTTTTCTGGATGTTAAACTTCAGGTTAAAAATAATTTTTATTACATTTTTAAATTTTGTAGATACCTACTAGCACGTATTTCTTGAATGACGTCTAATAAGAAATCCACTAAAGAAAGTTTCTTCCTGTACTCAAAAAGTACTTTTAAGGAGAAGACTAATATATCACTTTAGTTTGTCCTCAAAAGTATTCTTTCACTGAAAATTAACTCAGTAAACGTTTAGTTAGAGCTTCCATAGCTAAGAGCTGGAGGGAGGTAACATTTGGGAGCTCTTTTGTGACTTGAAAAGATAACTGATAGCATCAGGATTAGAATTTGGAATGAAATGAAATGGCAAATAGTAAATAAGGACGCCTGGTGGCGCTGCAGGCTAAGAGTGTGAATACTGGGTTCTGCCTACAACCCAGACGCCATTAAGCTGGGAATTCTGAACTCTGAATTCTCCCTAAAAGATGGAAGCATTGTTAACTGAGACTTAGGGGAGAGATCTTCAGAGAAGTCATTATTCTACCGCAAGTCGGTCAGAAAGATCGAATTTGAGGTTATTTAACCAAATCATTGGAGTGGATTATATACCGAATTGAAGAAACTGCTCTGTCTGGACTGGATTTGAACAATGGAGACTACGCTAGCAAAAACGCCACAGAAAAGGCAAGTTATCTTTCTTATTATAATGTTGCTTTTGTGGGAGGCTGGCTCTGAGGCAATTAGGTATTCTATACCAGAAGAAACAGAAAGGGGCTACTTTGTAGCTAACCTAGCAAAAGACCTGGGGCTTGGGGTGGGGGAATTGGCAACCCGGGGCGCACAAATCCATTACAAAGGAAACAAACAGCTCTTGCAGCTCGATGTAAAGACCGGCAATTTGCTTCTGTATGAAAAACTAGACCGGGAGATGGTGTGCGGGGTGACAGAACCCTGTATATTGCATTTCCAACTATTACTGGAAAACCCGGTGCAGTTTTTTCAAGTTGATTTACAGCTCAGAGACATAAATGACCATTCCCCAGAGTTCCTAGAGGGGGAAGTGCGCCTAAAAATCCCAGAGAATGTCCAGCCAGGGACTGTGTTTCCTTTGAAAATAGCTCAGGACTTCGACATAGGTAGCAACACTGTTCAGAACTACACAATCAGCCCCAACTCCCACTTTCACGTTGTTACTCACAATCGCGGAGATGGAAGCAAATACCCAGAGCTGGTGTTGGACAAAGAGCTGGACCGAGAGGAGCAGCCTGAGTTCAGTTTAACCCTCACCGCACTGGATGGTGGGGCTCCGCCCAGGTCAGGGACCGCTACAGTACTCATTGTCGTCTTGGACAATAATGACAATGCCCCTGAGTTTTTACAGTCTCTCTATGAAGTACAGGTCCCTGAGAACAGTCCCCTTAACTCTTTAGTTCTCGCTGTCTCGGCCCGAGATCTAGATGCAGGAGCGTATGGGAACGTAGCCTACGCTCTATTCCAAGGTGATGAAGTTACTCAACCATTTGTAATAGACGAAATAACAGGAGAAATTCGTCTGAAAAGGGCACTGGATTTCGAGACAACTCGATATTATAACGTGGAAATTGTAGCTATAGATGGCGGAGGACTTTCAGGAAAATGCACTGTAGCTATAGAAGTGATGGATGTGAATGACAATGCTCCCGAAATCACCATGTCCACGCTCAGCAGTTCCACTCCAGAAAACTCCCCTGAAACTGTAGTTGCCGTATTCAGTGTTTCGGATCTAGATTCTGGGGACAATGGAAAAATGGTGTGCTCCATCCGCAATGATCTCCCCTTCCTCTTGAAACCCACATTCAAGAACTTTTATACTCTAGTGACACAGAAGCCATTGGACAGAGAGTCCAAAGCCCAGTATAACATCACTATCACTGTTACTGACTTGGGGACACCCAGGCTGAAAACAGAGCACAGCATAACAGTGCTGATCTCCGATGTCAATGACAACGCCCCCGCCTTCACCCAAACCTCCTACACCCTGTTTGTCGGTGAGAACAACAGCCCCGCCCTGCACATAGGCACCATCAGCGCCACAGACAGAGACTCAGGCACCAACGCCCAGGTCACCTACTCCCTGCTGCCACCCCAGGACCCGCACCTGCCCCTCACGTCCCTGGTCTCCATCAACGCTGACAACGGACACCTGTTCGCCCTGAGGGCGCTGGACTACGAGGCCCTGCAGGCCTTCGAGTTCCGCGTGGGCGCCACAGACCGAGGCTCCCCCGCGCTGAGCAGCGAGGCGCTGGTGCGCGTGGTGGTGGTGGACGCCAACGACAACTCGCCCTTCGTGCTGTACCCGCTGCAGAACGGCTCTGCGCCCTGCACCGAGCTGGTGCCCAGGGCGGCCGAGGCGGGCTACCTGGTG